CATCTTTAATAATCATAATTACTAATTAATGCTACATACTAATTATTTTTTTATATACTTCCTCCTTTCAAATTATTACAAAAAACTCATATTACAGTCAATTTCAGCTGACTTTTCACTCAAATGTTCCGAACTTCGTTCCGAACTTCGCAAATTCGTTGCCAAGTTCAAAAGTTCATAATGAAATTCACAAGCGGGTTTGTAAACTGGGCATTTGATTGGCTGGTTTGATTTAATAGCCAATCAGAGGCTTTGTGAATTTCATTATGAACTTTTGAACTTGGCAACGAATTTGCGAAGTTCGCAACGAAGTTCGGAATCTTACGGTGAAAAGTCAGCTGAAATTGACTGTAAGCCCATTGTGGTATCATAGAATACTATACAGAAAGCCATCTCCATTGTTTCTTGTGTAAGCGCTATTCATCATGATTTGTCACTCGGCAAGCACCGTAAACAGAAGCGGTCACCCCCCCCCCCCCTCCCTGGAAATATCCATGGCTTTCTCACACAACGCCATTTTGGATATTTCCGGGGGGGGGTAACTACTTCTGTTTACGGTACTTGCTGAGTGACGAATCATGACGAGAGCGCTTACGCAAAAAACAATGGCCTTCTGTGTAGTATTCTGTGGCAGTATGAATGTTTTAAATTTATATCATTGTGCCCAAAATCCCTTCCTATTTGTACGCCTACTCACATTAGTCTTGTCAATAATCTTAACTTCTACATCTCCCAAGCTCATCAAGGGTTGGGAGACCCAACTTGCTCCACAGGCATCAAAATATGGGTTCCCAAAGCTCTATTTTTTCTGTAGTGAAAATCTTACATTAACCTTAACTGGCTGTAACTTAGAATGTTTAAAAGTGAACCAATAAACCAGTTATTATACATATGTACTCAGCTTCTGTGGTGCTGTAGGTTCAGATTGCTGTGGTGGTGCTGTAGGTTTCTTTGGTGGTGGTGTAGGTGTCCCTGGTGGTAGTGTAGGTGTCTTTGGTGGTGATATAGGTGTCTTTGGTGGCAGTGTAGATGTCTTTGGTGGTGATGGTGTAGATGTCTTTGGTGGCAGTGTAGATGTCTTTGGTGGTGATGGTGTAGGTGTCTTTGGTGGTGATGGTGTAGGTGTCTTTGGTGGTGATGGTGTAGGTGTCTGTGGTGGTGGTGTAGGTGTCTTTGGTGGTGCCTTTGGATAACCTGGAAGTAAATACAGTTTTTTCCTTAAAGTACTTTGAGGAGCTGGTACCTGCCTCCATCCACGAGATGTATAGGCACGAACAACTTTGTAGTTAACAAGTGTAAGCAGACTTAGTATATCTTCTTCCCAAGCATGTCTGGAAAATGTCTCGACTAAGGCTTGCACAAACCACGAACCATATTCAATGTTACGGTATGATTTATGACCTGCTGAATACGATAACACAATATGATCTTGGTTTGGTATTCCAGCTCCAACCATCTGTTTTGGTGCCAATGTTTCATCACTTGATGTATTAATATCAGTATTAATATCAGAAGATATGGAATTGAATATGCTTGGATTTGAAGGTGACGGAGTCAGAGGGTGTGCACTAGTAGAAGTACTACGATAATAGGAATTTCTATTGAAAGCTTGAATGAAAAATAATTTTGGCTTTCCATTATAAAGTTGAGACTTCTGAACACATTTAACAAGATCCATGACAGGAACTGTTTCGCCATCATGAAAAATAAGGCCTTTTTCACTACCATGACACATTACAATCACAGCAATGCAGCCACATCTCCTATACTTTGTGTCTTTTGCACATTTTTCAAGGACCTTCGTGGCTTTTTCAGCTTTATAGTCTATACAACATTTGGTTTCAAAGCCAATTTTCTCAAATAGTGACTTCAACTTAGCTACATCTTTATCACTACCAACTCGAGTACGATATTCTGCATATGAATACATGTTAAAAATTATGGCTATTCCTTTAATAGGATTGGAATCCATTTCGTAAATTTCCTCATTGTCTCTTAAATTAATATGAGGAGCATTCTCCGGTGTGAATGGAATGACGGAAGTTTCTTCCATAGCAAATTTCACAGCAGTATCAAATCTCTTTTTTTCCTCTTGATTTAACTGGTTACGTTCGTCCGAAGAGATTTTTGGGTAACGCAAATTGCCCAAATTTTTACATGCTAGTACAACTTGTAGTGCTGTTCTGTTTAAGTTTGGATTGCCTAACAGGTTGACTTCAAAAAGTCTGTCAAGTTCTTTTAGTGATTCACGACCGACAATGGTCTTTAGACCATTGTCTGATAAATCTAACTTATTCAGATTTTTTAATTCAGAGATGCTTTTTTCAATTGATGTTATAGAATTTCCTTTAAGATTAAGTACTTCCAACCATTCAATTTTCAAAATACCCTCAGGAATGGAGTCGAGACCACATTTAACAACTGATAACTCCCTCAGGCTGGTAAGCTTGGAAAAATTGTTGAAGTCATCCTTTTCCAGCGGTTCACTACATTCTATCAATTCAAGTACTACAATTTCTGTGGCCAGTTCAAATATGGTCTGTGGTATTCCTTGACAGTTAATAAAGGTTAGTTTATTCCCATTCTCATTCAGTTGTATTTGTAGTTTCGAAACAGGGTGCTTTTGCATCAAACTGTATGCTGTAATTTTCTTTTTGTTGCTTTCCGACAAAAAGGGTACCAATCGGTGTACATAGAAGTAATTATAGGAATGTAGTAAGTGTAGAAGAAAACCCAAATCTTTCTTCACAGCAGGAATATCTGCTACAGTTTTGACCTGCTCATTCTCTAACGTATATGTACATTCGTTGTTAACTACTTTGAAAACTGTCCAAATAATGATAACTGCAAAAATAACAAAGCTAACCCCCAGTATTATAATATACAAATACAATCCGTAAGTAAATGCAAGTGCAAGGCTATGTGAACAAACAAAATAGTCATGAGGAACAGGGATGTATTGAGTAATTGAACAGGTCATTGTCTCTTTTAAGTGCTTGATGTGGAAACTATCAATTAAGATGAATGTGAAGGTAGATAAAGCTTGAAGTATAGCTTGAACCAAATAGAGCCGCCAAATTTTAGAGGTTTTAGTAGTAGTTTTCTTGAGTAACTGTACCTTCTCGTACAAAGTTTGAACCGCAGCGAGAGTTGCAGGATCATCCAAAATATCGTTGTTTCTGTCCGAAATAGGTTTTCTGTTGATATCTTGGCCGTTTTGCTCCGGATCATCCGCCCATTGTCTTCTTGATACAGGAATTTTCGACACAGCTTGTGTTGATTCGAAAATTTGGTATGGTGAATTATAACATGCAATCACAAGGGTTGCAAAATGTTCAATAACTGACGCAGTCGTAGGGAGTTTAAGCCACATGTTATCAAGTACGATAAGAAAAAATGCTTGAAAAAACAACACAATCGACAAATAGGAAAGAAAATCTGGAATAGCACTTTTACTGCATTTCGAATTGACAAATTTAGCATATGGCAGACTGAGGTCCGTCAAGACATCTGTTCTTTTTATTATGTTGGTTGTCTGAGAGGCGTAAAATGCTTCACAAACATTACGGTTTGTATTATGTGAGAACAAGGAGCTGCTCGTGTTTGATCTCGATATACCTGGACAATCAACAGCAGCCAAACATTCAAAACCACCCAAAGTAATCTCCATACCTGCGAATAATACAGACAACATAAGCAAGAACATCACAAGATAATCTGTAAGGACATCCCATAATGTTTTGACTATCTTGCATTTTTCTTTTTCACCTTCAAATCTTGCAACATCGCTGAGTGCAAACATTTTCAACGATGAAACTGACCGAGTCAAATTTAATTCTAACAAATGCCACGTCGCCAAACGTTCGAAGCAGCAGGAATTTAATTTAATTTAATTTTTTCATTATAACGACTGCATGACGACAGCGAAATAGCAAACATTTCTTGATTTCATGATTTTTCATCAGCAGATATACAGGGTGTCTAAAAAAAACGCTATGCCTATGGAAATTCAACAGGCTGTCGTGCATCCTAAACGTGGCTAAACAATTCAATTTTTACATAGGACGAAAGAACAGTTATTTAGCTTTTCAATGATACTCTTTTTAAATCGTAACGATGAGAAATGGCCACATACTCGTCAAATAAAAATTGCTGGTCGAAATCACATTCTTCCACCGTTGGGAATTGCATGGAAAACGAAACATAAAAAATTCCCAAGAGGGAATTAAAATTGAATGTTAAATTATCTGAAATAAGCTCAACTCGTCAGTCTTCGTCTTAGTGAAACCATAAGAACGTCCATTATTACATTAAACATGGTTCAATTAACCCCTGAACAGAGAACATTCGTAATCAAAACGTTTTACGAAACAAGTACCTTGCAGCAGACTCGCGGTGCTTTTGGATTGATTAACTTTGCATAATTAATTATTTTCAATTCCCAACGGTGGAAGAATGTGATTTCGACCGAAAATTTTTATTTGACGAGTATGTGGCCATTTCTCATCGTTACGGTTTAAGAAATATATCGTATAGAAAAGCTATAAATGACAGCTCTTTCTCCCTATGTAAAAATTGAATTGTTTAGTTACGTTTGTGATGCACAACAGCCTGTTGAATTTCCATAGCGTTTTTTTGAGACACCCTGTATTTCATTTTTGCAAGATTTTGTTAATTTCAAAAGCTTTTTGATAAAATAAAGGCGAGAGAATTGCTAAAAGAAGGGATTAAAGGCGCCGACGTTAACGAAGGTAAGTTTGATTAGCCGGCCTTGTACAAATATAGCACTGCTCCCACATTTGCGTACATGGCGCTGAATCAGCAATGAAGGCGAATAGAATGATTGCGAATATTAAAAAGACCAAAACAATGTTAATTGGCTCGCGCCCTGCTCTTAGACTTAGAAAAGCTAGAGATAGCTGAAAATATACAGATACAACTCTTCAGTGGCGAAGCCAGATGTCCTGCTTGTCCTGCTGAGCATGACATACAAAATTTCCACCGATAATGAATTTTTACGCACATAATTTTTAATCAAAAGAAAACACTTTTATCCAGCTTGACATATAAAGTAAAAAACAAATTCCGAAAAGACAAGACATCTTGAGTATTCAATATATATAATTCAAAACAAGACGCAGGTTGAAACTTTAAATTTTCGACTTTATTTCAAAGTCATCTTCAGACAGAATATATTGAATTCTCAGAATTCATATATTGAATTCTCAAGATGTCTTGTCTTTTCGGAATTTGTTTTTTGCTTTAATTTAAATTGTCGGCTGGTCATGGTTTTTCAGCTTGACATATGTTCTTACATTTTCTTAACTTCAGTGCGTTGCGCAGAAATTCTTAATTAAACAGAGAAAGTCATTATGTAAGTTAACGTTATTGCTGCCGAGCGAAGCGAAGGCAGCCACCTATTCTTGACGACGTTTACAGTTTTTACTCGTGCCAGATCCCCGCGCGACTTGTGTATTTTAGCCACTGGCCGTGATTTGTAATTTTTGATAATACTAGTCGCTGATTGGCTGAGTACTGAACAGCTAACACGTCGATAGCATATAATCTACTTCGTACATATAGATTCAAAAACCGATACCGGGGAAAAATACCGATATATCGATATTTTGTCGCGGTTGTATTTTGCTTAATTTTATGCAAAATTTGCTTGATTTTATGCAGAATTTTCTGTTTTCAAATGACGCCAAAAAGCCGCGATATAACAAGAGAATTGTCCCCTTTGGGAATTTTTGCATCTTATTGCACTCCTAATGAATTATCCGCACTCAGAATGAATCATGTGTTATATTTTGGCTGGGATTCTTTTCCGACTGTCGGGCATCTAGACGGCCGCTTTATCCATTGAGCTATCGAGTCAACGGGGATTGGTAGTGAGTCTTAGGCCAGGGTCAAACGTCGAACTCTTCATGTGTCGAACCTAATACAAATGAAGTGAAACAAAGAACTTAGCTCATTAACATTAGGTTCGGCGCATGAAAAGTTCGACGTTTGACCCTGGCCTTATCCAATTTAAGTGCACGAAATATTTTCGTGACTACCTAACGCTCAAATGGTCTAGATACCCGAAGACGCGAGTTTAAATTCCGCTCGAGCCAACGAATTTTTCGTTGGTCTATTGCAGTGTCAGAATAATATGAAACTGGTTTTTCGTATCTCTGAGGATGGTTCTGAAATAGAATTGAAACACTGCGCGTCGTCTAAGACAAGCGTCAAGTCATCGCGAAAATATTTCGTGCACTTAAATTGGATAAGACTCGCTACCAATCCCTGTTGACTCGATAGCTCAATGAGTAGAGCGGCGGTCTAGATACCCGAAGATGCGAGTTCAAATCCCGCTCGAGCCAACAAATTTTTCGTTGCTGGATTGCAGTGTCACGTATTTTTCCAACTTTGCCAGTCATTGTTAAAATTCAATTTAGTGCAGGATTCAATGGTGTCATGCAGCTTTTGAAAGGCGTAACCTGCATGTTGATCGATGAGGTTGCATGCCTCACCTGACGTCTTTATCATGACCAAAACTCCAAAGTCGACCACGAACCTACAATTTAGACCCTCGGTGTTATATACTTTAATTGATCCACAATAAAATTTATCTTATTAAAATGACTTCTTTAGTTTTCTATAGCATTGATTTTGTTTGTTATGGGGTGGCAGGTAGTGGATGATATCAATCCAGCTTTGAGGCTGTTAATACTTCAATTGATCCAGTTCTTGGACTTATATACATTTTCATGTTAAATATTAACCTTATATTTGCGGATGTGTACTAAAACTGTCTGTACCAGTGTGAGTGCTTGGCAACACACTTTTCTTACATACATCTGCAGTGACATCATCCTCGGTCCCAGGGCCTCTCGGCTGACACTGCGTTGTCAGCCGTGAGGCCCTGGGACCGAGGATGCAGTGACATAATAATAATAATAATGCATAATATTTGTATAGGTAATCGCATGGGGCCGAGTAAAATTAAGGTTTAATTTCACGCGTGTTTTCAAAGTTTCACAAATTGCCCGAGTCTCTCTCCTCCGCAGAGGCTTAAATGAAGTTTCTAGTGAGGGAAAAGTGAGCGCGCAAGGAGTGATGGGAAGAGCTAAATAAAGGAAGCCTCTGCGAGTTAATGCAATCAATATGGCGTCGTATATAATCGTTTGTAGCGAAGTTCGATCAACCATCGGGGGTGTTAAAACATGTTTTCGACTTTCATTTTCAGGCGTACTTGAGTATGCTGCGGTGAATTCAATATCAATATTATCTTCTGCCATTTGCATCGAAAAATATTGAGAAATTGCAAACGAATATCAATGGATACGAGCTATCTGATTATAAATATCCTCTTAATTGCAACATTTCTTTATAAAAATGACTCTATTGAACTTTGACACTCAGATTATGAAGATTCATTTCAATTTCTTTCACATTTCCGTCGATTTCAAGTCTAAAAAAGGTCAAACACTAGTTTGGTTCAAAATCATACTTCGTCGCATTATCTGGCGGTAATTGCTAGATAGTATACTTCAAAATAAGATTTCCGTTTTTATAACGTAGAAAAAACCATCCTAACGCAAAACTAAACTCTAACCCTAATATTAAACTTAACCCTAACCCCAACCCTAACATAACCATAACCCTAACCTAACCCTAACTTATTTAAAAAATGATATAAAAACGGAAGCCTTATTTTGAAGTATACTATCTAGCAATTTCCATTATCTGGCAGAGCCTCCCCAACTTCATTTCAATCTTCCCATCACACCGCGCGCGCTCACTTTTATTCAGGAAACTTGGTAATCGTTCCATGTTTCGCGCACCAATATAGTAAGCATTATGTAATGGATATTATAGTGTACTGAAAAGTTCACTAGATACCTCCATACACATATAATACACCCTAACCCCAACCTTAAACCTAACCCCTACCCTAACCTAACCCTAATACCTAACCCCTAACCCTAACCTATATTGGTGCGCGAAACATGGAATGATAACCGGAAACTTCATGTAAGTTATTTGTAAATACTTAAGGAGGCTCTGCGGAGGAGAGAGTTGCCCGAGTCACGAAGCGACAAGGGCAATTTGTGAAACTTTGAAAACACAAGTGAAATTAAACCTTAATTTTACGAGGAATTATGCGATTACTTGTTAATCATAGAGGGCAAAATTTATTCGTAAGTTAATTGTGAACTTGTCAAGTTCTTGAACCTCGTATGTTTCCATGTCTTCGCCTTTTCGCCGATGTTTCTTGATGCTGCCCTGCATGCTTGCCAATTTCTTAAATACTCCAACCAATAAATTTGTACTTGTTCTGGTAATCAAGTTTTCGCTAGAAGTTTTTAATTCTTCAATAACATCATTATCCGCGACGACAAAGCGAGAAGCCATTGAAACAAGAAACTTCCCGCGCTTGCGTCTCAGCCAATCAGGTACAAGTAATTTTGCCCTGAATTAAGAAAAAATGCCCTCATTAGCCAATCGTATTTGAGTAATTTTGCCCTCTGTATGATTATAAGAGGAAGCCTATTTCACTGTACAAGTGGTATTCTATAAAGTCTTCTGTTTAAATTAGACTAAAATAAATAAAAACCAAGATAAAACTTAAAAGTTCAAAACGAGAAAATGTAGAAACTCAATAAGACTATATAATTTAGGTAAAACTAATTGTCAACCAGAAACTATTTAAGATTCCTGGTAAATTTTAAGATTCCTGGTAAATTTTAAGATTCCTGTAAATTTTAATTAGATACACTGTAATGAGACAACTGCAGGAAATGAACCCTGGTTACAGAAACCTACAGGGCAGTATACCTGCAATATAATGCGGAAAACCTAAGAAACTGACAGAGGTAAAAAAAAAACACATGCCCTAACCACTGTCTGTGTCAACCATCTAGTCGGTTCTAAAATTTGTATTTTCTATTTTTACTTCAAATCTTCATCCATGCATGCACGAAATAACCCAAAAAATAACCAAGATATTTTTAGTAACTATTTACCAAATTTAGCACTGAGGTGTAGACGGGGGCGTATAATATCCTCCCAGTCAATGTTCAACTTCATACCAAAATTGCATTCCTGTCTGAATTTCCTCTTAACATGGAATTCCAAATGATGCAATTCAATGTATAGCATTTAGGCGACAATGTAACCCATTTAACACTTTACCTAATATCAGTAATTATCCAAATGATAATATTTTACAGTCTGGTAGATTTCATTGTTTCTTTATACTGCTTGCATGACTGAAATATTTTTGAATGTAAAATTAAGAGACAAAAATGCTTTCTTTATTATTGTGTATAATACGATCAAAACCCGGCAACTTTTTCATGATTTCTTTCGGACGATTCACAAATCTTAATGCTAAACCTGATTTGCCTTTTAAAAGCGCTTATCTTTCTAATAAAACACCCCCAAACGACTCCGAACGTTGCAACTGTTGGCGTGGTCACGAGCCGTGAAAATGACGTATTAAATAACGTAGCAGTTTGAACAACTATGGCGTTCTACTGATTGCAGACCTGCCAAGTCTCACGATTTAATCGTGAGACTCACGATTTTTTATGCTTTCTCACGATTAAGTTCCCAAATCTCACGATTTTCGGAACTTACGAAATCATCGAAGAGCGCAACATCTAGTTACAATAAGGCACACTCTTCCAAGGAAAAATCACACTTTATTAGTATATTAATAATGCACCTCTGAATGCGCAATGTACAACGCCAGAATTTTGTATGCGTGATGTTTGTTGATGTTACAAAGTAAAAGGCGTGTCCTGCTATGCTTATTGTCCTGTTTATAGTCCTATTATATTGCTCGTAGTTTTCTTGTTTTTGTACAGTGGAAACTACTAAAGCCATAAAGAAAAAACAGCCTGTAAATGCATACTATCATAAAATTGAATATCTATTGATTATTTTCTAGTGTTGTTGAAGTTAACCCTGGTCATATTAATGAGCAAACCTGAAAATTTCTAAGTCTCACGATTTTTCAGTCAATCTCACGACTTTTTAGATAGCAACATTTCTGCTACTCAAGGGTTGGCAGGTCGGTGATTGCTCAACATAATTCAATGGCCAACTTGCATGTTAGACTTAATTTTAATCTAAGTAAAGAGAAGGGAATGAAAGAACACACTAGCTAAAAGGAAACATAACGAAATTAGTAAAATTGCAAAATTTGGTTGCGAAATGTTGTAAAGCTTGGAAAATATAGTCTTGCAAATGTTGCACATGTTTGCATTACGTGCGGAAAAAAACCCGTACCCAGGCTCTTATGCGGAAATTGTTACCATTTTCGGCTCAAAAATGGTAACAATTTCCGCACGTAATACAAACATGTATACAAAATATGCAAACCTCGCAAGGCTGTATCTTCCGTATTTACAACATTTCGTAACCAAATTTTGCAATTTTACTAATTTTAATAAGTTCTTTACGAATTTTTTTTTTGCCTAGATCAAAAATTGGTCTAACATGCAAATTGTCTATTCATAGTCGCTTTTGTCTTAGAGTAAAATTTATTGTTGATGAGTACGTCTTTATTGACGTTTGCCGTCGTATTTGCCAAACTCGCTAAGTGACTGGGACCGAAGGAAACAGTATTTTTTGTAGACCCGAGACAAGGAGAGCCTGTTTTCGGACCCAGTTTTCTTTGAGACTGTATCAAAATTCGGTCTCGATTTCCTGCTGTAAGAGTTACTGTAGAGGACAGGAAGGTCGATTCCAGATCGTCCCAACCCCCTTCCCCCCATCCGCCCGGCAATTTGCACCCCTGAGTAAATTATATCTTTGCAAGGGCCTGATCATCGCTATAGTTCATTCAGTATAGTGTGTTCTGTTCGACATCGGATCATTCTAGGATGGCCCACATCCAAGCTAGATTGGCTGAATCGAGAATGGCAGTTATTTAGCCGAACTGTTTACACCCGACACTTTCACATGAAAAAAAACCCGCTTCGGATAGGGTGAAGTAACATAATATAGGGTGCATTTTGGGCTAACAAGAGACAATACTCAATAGTAGACAGTCTGATTTTTTTAACCCATAGCAACATTATACAACACGAAACATTTTTAACTCTCAACTTCTAATATTTTTAAATCGTATGTTAGTACATTACTCTAGTTACACAGTACTTTATACTTGTAAAACCATTGTATCTTCTACTTTTAGTATTCTTAAATCATATATGCTACTGCATATTTTTAGTTCAATCGTATTTTACAGTTGTAGAACCATGCCTGAATTGTAATTCGGTTTTAACTGCAAAATTGGTTGTTAATAAAACGATTATTATAATTTTCTCTTGACGAATAAAATCGTCGTTGAAATAACAAAGTGCATTTGGTGCATTAATTGTGACATAGTACGTTAACAAACAATATGGACAGATAGTTTAGTTAAACCATAACGCCCACCACTCTGCCCTTTGATAAACATCGTCTGGCATTAGATTGAAAGCAAAATAACATTGTGGGGCGCATGGGGGCTGCATTGTGACTCAATAAGTTAACAAGAAACATGACAGGTATTCTGTTTGAACCACCAACGCCCAACCACTTCATTCACCTTGACCAGCAAAATCGTTTGACATTGAATAGGGTTATTTACAACGTAGGGCAAATTGCATTTTGGCTTAATGAGTAACTTTCCAATTAACTTAATAATGCATTTTTCCTGATTATTAGCATTATATAAATGTGTTTACCTGTTTAGTATAAAGAATCTCTGTATAAGACTTGAGTATGTTGTCGACAAACTGTCTATAGATAGCAATTATGTACTTGGCCTCTCTTACCTTTGTGGTGGTGGGCAAATGCCGCCATCTGCGTGCTGAGCTCTGTGGTACCACTGGAGTCATGCCTTAGTATCAAACGCAACTGGCTCCTATTAAAGCCTGTTTTCCACTAGGCGGAATTTTGCGCGCGGAGCGGAATTTTTCTTTGTCTTGTGATTTCTTGGGTGGAACAGAAAATTCTTGGGTGAATTAGAAAAGACAAAGAAAAAGTCCGCTCCGCGCGCAAAATTCCGCCTAGTGGAGAACCGGCTTAGTAGAACTTTATTTATCCACGCTGACCCCGTCAACCGTAGCTGATTTCCACGGGGGGCGTGTGCCAGAAAATTATTTTACATGCAGAATATGATAAGGATAAGCTAAGCTATTACAGTAATATATAAATTTAAAAGATATAACAAATGTTTTGAGCTATTTACAGGTAAGTTATATTTACAAAGGTTACCAAGCACTAATGTGAGCAGCGATTTTATTTCGAAAGGAAGAAAGTGACTTGCTTTTCCCTAATTTCTTTTGGTATGGAATTCCAAATGTTTGCTCCGTCGTATATAAAACTATTTTTCATGTTATTTGTACGTGGTTTTGGTAAATAAAGACCACTTGAGACATCCCGAAGGTGGTAATTAGTTTTCTCACTCTTAAACGAAAATAGATTTGTGAGTGATTTTGGGCCCATTTTGTTTAATAACTTATACATCATTCTTGCTTTAGTTTTCTTCCTTTCAGTTTGGAGTGGCTCCCAGCCCAAAGTACGTAGCGCAATCGTATAATCTACGTCATTGCTTATATTCAGAATAATTCTTGCCGCTCTATTTTGCAGTTTTTGCAGTCGTTTTGATTGAGTTTCGCCAAATACATCCGTATTAAGCGCGGATGAAACTATAGGAAGTATAGGACGAGAGTGCATTGTTCAAACCTTGATTATAGACTGCCAAACCCCAAATTAAACCCGCTGTCTTGATTTGATTTTTCTCAACGCCCGTGTTAGAAAATAAAATTACCATCGCATTATTCTGTTACTCGTCGATACCTACGAACTATACCGACGATCTCAAGTTGGCCGTTTCATTTGCCCGTACTGATGTTTTTAAACATTCAATTTTGTTAGAATTACAAGATTATGTAAGTCTTTGCCACATACAGTTCGCTCCTTAGAATCTCTTCCATCGTTCAGGAGGGAATTTAAACTATATTATGATCGTTTTCATATTGACTGGAATCCTTAGTGTTAGTTATTATTATCGACTTATATTACTTATTTGATTGTTATTTAAATTAGGTTTTTTATTTTGTGCCAGTGGTAAGGGAATCATGAATTCTGTTGTTGGCTTCCCAAATACATTCTATTGACTTTTGTTATGATTGACAATTGATATGTATTAGAAATTAAATAAAATAAATTAAATAAAATATACTCTGCATGTCGCTTCCAAGAGAGGTTCGATTATATTGTTAAAGAATAGTCGATTGCCAAGAGAGACAAAAAATAATCGATCAATCGGGAGTAACTCTCTCTCTAAATGTTTCCATTATTTGCCACCAAAAACTATAGGTGAATGTAGCTTTGGTGCAAAATTTTCTATTTCTCCTATTCATGATATATTTCTCTCTTTCAGTGACATCGAATGGAACAAAAAGAATGAAAGGAATCTATAAGCACGGTAGGAAAGCGATCGACTGTTTACACTGATGAAAGGTGGAATGATTTCGATGTATTGAAATAAATCACTAGGCTAAACGAAAGTTCAAATGCTGGCTAACAGAACTCAAATATTGTAGACCTTGTAGTTCAAGAAGATTAATCTATCTCTAGAAAGTAATGAAGTTTTTTGCTGAATCATGCATCGTGACTTATTTCAATATATCGAAATCATCCCGCCTCATATCTCGTCCTGGTAAAGCGGGGTCATATAAACAGACCCAAACATTCAGCAAATTACGCATGCTGGCTTTGATTCCTTGGAGTGAGGCAGCACTTTCCTTGCGATAGTAATTTCTATAGTAATAAATATATTGTCTATGTTAAAAATCCATGGCCCAGGTTTACTATGTTTAGGGCAGTTACGTATAAATAAATAACGGAATAATAATTTTTCTTCCCTTTCTAATGAAGTGCTTTTAGATTCTCATAGACATAACAGAATTCATTAAGTATTACAACATATCAAAAACTACATCGTGTGAAATTGTTTTCTTCAAATTTTAAACACGCCATTGCATAGGTCATGTGTATAAAGTGTTTTGCAAAACTTTGTAATTTTTATTCAAATTACTTCGTGTGATATTTGCTAGAAACAGCGGGAATCGACATAAAACAATTGAAGACCATTTTAACAAATTAATACACTGAACCTCGGCATTAAATAGCGCATAAAAACACAGCCATATTAGACTAAGTATTAGGTGTGATCATATTAAATAGCCCGCATCAAAACAACTTAGGCACTCGTTATAAAGGCACCGATTTGTTAAAACTATATCATCTTGGTATTAATTACGGTACAGAAGGTTCTAAATGACTCCAAATAATAGCACTTGTGTAAAAAATACTTGTGATTTTAGCATTAAATTGAGCATAAGAACAAATGTTCTGAGTGTGTCTATAATAAGACTCTATACGCTAAAAATTCACACTGATTGTGTTAAAAATAGGTCACTGGACAAAGCAGTAATAAACTGACCCAGTTTGAGTTTGACTCTAATCTCTATACAACACACCACATATTTCTCGTTCTCGCCCTCCCCCCCCCCCCCCCCCTTCCACTAGCGCCGCTACGTGCGCTGTACATGTTTTCTCCAATTATGCCCTTGTTCCCCTCCTATAATACTTCATATACGTACTGCCTAGCCTAGGTTGCTTAATTAATAAGGGATGAATCATCCCTGGTGATCATTTATACTGGACTGCTATAACGAGAACAGTTTAGAATTGATCGAGTTATCCAGTATAAAGTTAGTTTAGTTTTCTAAATGAAAGCTGTGATAATACCATGAAAAAGTTAGTGCACTACAACAGCAGTGTAAGGTAGAGCCAATGATAAGAAAGCTTCGGTTTGGTAGGAATACAACTACCTGAAAAATACAAGGAGGAACTCGATGTTTCGAGCGAAGGCCATTTTGTGTATCGTTACAGCATGAAATATAGCCATCTATGGAAATGTCGTATCGAAACAAATTAGGTTTATGGACTCAATATAAGCGTTAATTGCACCATAGCGATTACTTCCCTTCCTTGTGCGTCGACCTTGATCGCGGATGTGCCATGAGCGTTGAAGAAAGAGCCTGGGAACGAGGTGTTATTGATTTGAACTTGTGTCGTTAAACATTTTGTCAATATAGGTAAACTAAAGAAAACTTATATCACCTATATAGTGTTTGGTAGAGTTCAACTGGAAGCACTCTTCTCACATTTGACTGAGACAAACCGCTAATAATCATGTAAAAATTGAAATTCTTCCGGGTGAATGCTGATTTCTTTAGGGTGTGTAAACACTATACTAACAGGAACTCTTTAGGGGATCTCTCTTCTCGACAGGAATTCTTAAACCCTTGTTCTACATAGGGGGTCAACAGTGTGGTCACGTCTTTAAAATGGAGTAGCCCAGCGTAAGATTTGACCCCCAGTCATATATATAGTGGTGAAAGGCACATTTCACCAACTAAGGCACCACCAACATCACTCTTGAATCTGATGAATCGCTGGCTTTATTCATCAATCTTGTTCGCAGATTCTTATCTGGCTCATGAAACAACAATGCGGTGTTTTCAATGCTGAAACTTTCAAAACGTTGTCTCATTAGACAATAAGTTAAATTGTTACGAGCATTCATAAAAAATTCTTTCAATTGATTCAACTCAGTGCGAGTTAAGAAAACTGTCTCGCCACTAATATCGGTCTTTTTATCTTTTATTTTTTATCTTGTTCCTACGTTGTGAATGCCACGTTAATTGTGGGTTTACATTGGCGAGATATTCAGACGTACGCCTATATAATGACTGCTTTGACTCGCTGGGTCGGTCTGTTACCATTAAACCATTACTCTTTTGTTTTTACACAGACAATATGTTCCCGAATGTCTAGCGACGGAAAATAATATTTTGTACCATTTCTCTTCCTATTTCCAAAAAAATTGCTTGAAGGTATTGGAAATATACTTGGCTAAGTGCATTTAATATCCGCATCCGAGTTATTTTTATAGACCATTTGAGAATATCATTAAATTTTTAATTTTCCAAATTTGGTTTTGCCCAGTCAATTGTGAAAAATATCATTATACTGCAGTTATGACAAGCTGACATAAATTTTGGTCGAATTCTATAAACTATATACCCGAAGCAGATTAGACTACTATAATTCGTTATCTCAACAACAGAATTTGGAAAACAAATCAGAGAGATCTATCCCAGATACGTTTAATTTACAACAATTTACAAATAAATATACATGAAATTTATTTTCCTACCGTACTTTGCTAAGTCGAGTTTTCTTTACGAGTTTTGGTGAACCAGCGCGAAATATAAAGTGAATTTCACCAGCCGTATAAACAGAGTGAGAAAATAATGTTAATTCGTTTTATGTCGTTGTCTAGATAACTCAACGTTCTTGAAGTAAACTACCGCCTGTCTTGCAACACATATCGAAACGGATAAATATTTGGACGTGTTTTTATAGACACTCACGCTATCATTCAGTAATGTTGTTCGTAGGCTCGTCGTTCTCTTGTGCACTATCCTCGGCTGTCTGTTCGCTGCCCAATCCTTCGCCATCCTCGCGACTTTTATCCGTATTAGTCTTTTTCCCACCACTGTGGGTCTTGACATGTTTCGACAAGTGATCACTCCGCATAAAACGCTTGGAACAGACAGGACAGGCGAATCTTTTCTCGCCTGTATGTGTTCGTAAGTGCCTTTGAAGTTCGTCAGATCTCGTGAAACGCTTTCCACAAAACAGCCAATTGCAAACAAAAGGCCTCTCGCCCGTGTGCCAGCGTAAATGTGCCTTGAGATGCGAGGTTTTACCGTAGACTTTCCCACAGCCGGGAATATGACAGCTGTGCTGCGTCTTCTTCTTAAAAGGAGCGCCCAACGCTCCTAAGCGTTCATTCTCCTGACAGTTAGGGCAATCACAAGTCGCTCGTCCTGTGTACCGTCTTGTAGACCTCTGATTAGCCATCACTTGACTGGCTTGAATAATTGCTGGGTTTGGAGTAATATAAGTCGGTGGATCGATGTATATGGGCAAGCTCGATTTATGAGATTCGCTTGAGAATGGTGTGGGCATACCGGGTGAGGGGTATAAGGTATTACCCTGACCAGACATAGGGTTTCTGGTTAGTAAATTCCGTGGTGATTGGTACTCGGGATAGCCTGGCAGTTGGGATAGTCTATGATGTGGGTTTGTAGGCGATAGAGGCTCGAGCCAATTCGAGGCTGCCCCGTGAACATCCCAGAATGTACCACCAGATTGTTGGACTTCGAATCGTGTCGGAATCTTGGGTGATGTGCTCTCTTCATGTGAGCATTGATGAGGTGACCGTAAATTACACAGCATGTCAGGTGATGCATGGATCCTCGCTACTGGTGAAGTATTATAGTTCTCGGTTAGCCCTAAACGAATCCCGTTCAGGCTATAACCAGCCCTACACAGGTCCGGTCTGTGACTCAATGTTCGTGGGCACGGTGTATAGGTATTTGGCGAAAACATCATCGGTTCTTTAGGTATTCCGCCGACAGACACCATAGTCGCCGGAGAGCTGCTGTCCGTCTTCCAGGGATGAAATCTCTTTCCTACTGTAATCTCTGCCAATGGTGGCGGACTTTGCTGGCCGATTTTGCTACAAGTTGCTGCGAGCATCGCCAGTGGTGTTGATTTGTGTACGGTGGATGTAGGTGCAGCGATATTTGCAGTACCGGCTTCACAAAAGGAACGATCCTACAGGAGCAAAATAGACGGAAGGAAATAGTTAATAGCATGTCTGTGTGAAGCCATCCGATCACGTCTGAGAACCTAATCGTCTTCCTATATAGTGCATGCACATAATTCGACTAACAAGTTATTTTGAGTGTAGTTGTAAAGCTCTTCATTTACAGGTTAATTGGCAGATTTTGTACTAGCCTCAACTTCAAACAACAGAATGCTTCGGATTAAGAGACATTCAACTAGTACCTGAAAAGTTCGCTTGGCTCAAAACGTCGAAGTTTTGCTTGTTTTTTTTCAGGTGGTTCAATCTGGAGTTATGGCTCAAACCGTTCGAGTCAACTTCAAACAGTTGATCCTTATAGGGTACACAGAGTGTATGATCCCGGAAGATCTGTGGTAATTCCAAGCTTAGTTTAAACTCTTTTCCTACATTTAATAGAATTCTACAAACACTACAATTCGTACAGTGTGGGTGAAACTGGAAGGCTTCAAAAACCGTTCGTTATTGTGGTAAATTTTGCTGTCTCCTTAGGCTTCAAACGGATGATTCTATTTGTTAATGGACTTGTACGAATGTTCTATGGTAATTTCTCGGTTCAATAACTGTCTTAGCCTTTTCGGCTACAGTGGAATTCTACTTCTTTTAGTGAACTTCTTTTTTTTAGCCAGCGTAGGTGGAAGTCTTAAATGCAATTCCTTTCTAGTTGATTCTCGCTAGTTTAATAGCTCACATCACGGTTATAGTTATCTGTATATATATTATATATATTCTAGCTACTTCAAACGGTTGGCTATGTGTATAGGTGTCCTGAAACACGGGTTCCTCAGCTTCATTGTAAGATTCTCGTTGACTTCAAACATCGAAAGGTCCATTCGCTGCATATTATAGGGGATCTTACAATATACATCTGTACTCTGGCATAGATTCTTGCTCAAATAACTATAGCACTAATGAATTGTAGGTCTTCTGGACTTTCGAGTGAATTCTGGACTAAGAATTCTAGACTTTTGTGTGTCTATACTTGAGAGAAATGCGAGAATATAGCCACGAAACTGAATGTATACTTTCCATGCTTGTTTGTGTATTTCAAAGCCAAAGGCTCGATGAAATTGACTGTTGAATATCATATTAGACATTAATTAGCCAGCAACGATATGAAACGCACAGATTTTTCACTGACTGTATCTGTATATAATGATCATATATGTATGGCTCATCCGAGATTCTTCATTGCCAGTGATTCAACGATACTTCTCTATTTTCGAACACATCTTAGCAATGCTAAACCTTAATCTTAGAAGATGAATGCGTGCAGTTTGAAGACAGTGCATGACGACCACAGATTATACAATAATTTAATTTGTAAACTTTTCAGACTGGTTTATTTGTGGCCAAGACACTTAAACTTGATTATAGAGCGGCAATGGCGCTAGCCACTTCGCCACTTATCCACTAAAGTATAAACCCATTCGTTATAAGTAATTTAAAAAAATAAGGCGTGCATATAAAAATACGCTATCCGCCGTCTAGTCTAGGGAACTCAGGAAGTTTATACAGCCGCGTATTAGACTTTTAAACTGTTTAAACTGAGGAAAAAAATTACATTATGAACTGACATAGTTTAGTCTTTACCGCAAACTCGTAAACTCAATTTGCTAGTGATGGGTCACAGATTTGTTGCTCTAGTGTCAAATTTGCATTGCAGTAAATTAATTTAGCGTGCGCGCTCATCCAAATACGAAATTGTAAGGTATATTCGAGACAATAATACAAGACTCCCAGGTACAAAATAAGTATATTATATAGTATATGCTATATATCGTATTATTTTTATTCTTATGGGCCACCATACCAGATTTTTCTGAGAATAAGCTATGCGAAATCGAAGTAAAAAATCGGCCTTCGACCTTCGGTTTCAATAAATAACAACATAAAATAGCGACGTAACATATGCGCAAAATTATAATTTGTTTTACGTGCTGAACTTTTCGTACAAAATTGTACACTCCACAACTAAGCTGTTACCGACAAATATACTACGGTCCGTGTCAAGACCATTTCAGTTGACATATATATTAACCATTCATGCAATTCCTAATCACAAAACATTGATATGAATACTAATAACACTACAACAATTTCCAAGGCAAGGTTCCTTTGAACAAAATACAGTTTCGGATGTTGCAAGAGTAAATAAGTTTCGTTCAAAAATTGAACAAGCTTAAGTTTGCTCGAAAAATCCTGTTACTTCACTTAAAAGTAATTCATATATGTGCTTATACAAAAGGTTGAACCCTGCAAGCGAAAGCCTTCGTTAGAACTGTCGCTCTTTGGTGTGATATTTTACCTATAAGTGGGTTATGCCTTTAGGCTAGCGACAATGTACCACTATCTATATTGATGTCCCGGTTATACTTCTATTATAGCGGAGAAATACCAGCCGTTTGAAGGCTAGCAATCTACCACAATGTACGCGTATTTCAAACTCACTAGCACGTATACTTGATAGCGTAAGCGAGGGTTTATTAAAAATATAAAAGCATACTATAATGTTGTATATATACCATCAGAGAAAGGCCCTTGCCATTGCAGTGACATCGCAGGCTGGCTGGAACAGCGACTACCACGTTGTTTGATACAGCAGCAATTGGCCGGAGAACCCCGCTGTCATGGCTCCGTGCTCGGAGACAAATGTGCGTAGTTGACTGCTGTCTAAAGATCATCGCGAGATACTATTCACTTTGTCATGCCGCGCGTTTCAACAATGTCCAATCAAATTAGCGCAATGCCTGACTCGTCTGGCCTCATTGATTGCATATTAGTGCGTTTCGGCCAGCGTTACAAGACCAGCAGTTGTCAACTTCGGAAATACTAATACTTGTAGCAGCAAAAAAATTAAAATACACATCTCTCAGTTCTCATAATTTCCCCCTAAATATACTGCGTACCATAAAAGAATTTGCGTTTCTATTTATTCATTTATTTCCTCACCCACCATATGTTACCACGCAACCCTGCACCTATTTTCAACTCGTCATAACTCTTAGGAGGTTGTAATATAGGCTACCAAGCAATTCGCTGAAGCCGCATCGCGATGTTATCGTCCCGAACTGGGCGGACACAATGTCCTTGCAACTACAAAACTGGCAAGGCGTTAACAATTAGCGATGACCGATTACTCTCACAGCTGCCAAAACAAAGAGGATATTTTGGACCTAAAGTTACCATCGCAAAAATATTCAACATCTTACACTCTGTTGCTCTTATATTAGACTCTTATCCCTAATCCTCTAACATTTCCTGGTGGTATTTCTAAGTTGTTTTCTATACGTGGCCATTATATCTGTACCATTACACAGCGAATTTGGTGAGGTCATCTCGTGTCCAGTAGTGGGTGGGCTGGATGGGCGTGTGTGGGTTGTACATATGGGCGGAAAAGGTTTTTCTAGTTTACTGCCTAAATCCTCAAGCCTGTGTCAATTGATAAGTAGAATATACTGTTGGGGGAGTATATTGCTAATATAAGGTGTCGCTGTCGAGTGCTTGTTGTGTTTAGGGATTGACAATTATCTCGTTAAGTCCCCTCGCATCAATTGCTCATGATTTTTGAATATTTGTTAATGAGAGTAACAGATTTTCACACATATCAAACTTTGCGTTAACAAAAAGTCATATCATATTGCGCGTATCATATTTCCAACTTTTCCCTATACAAATCACCCCAAAATTTGATGTTTTTTCGCTTACGTTTGCTCTACGATTATATTGGTGTTCAGTTACCCTCGGTATAGGAAAGAATGAGTCTTTAGACGCCTTTTGAATGTACTTTTATGGGGAAATAATCCTTAATTCGAATGTCACTTTTCGTTTGATTGTGGGCTGTTTGTTAGAATTTGTA